AATTACATTATCATAATCTATGACTCACTGGAAAAATATGGATAAAAGAGAAAGTTGCTTTTGAAATAAGAGGAGGAAATGTAAGAAATAATTGCATAAAAACTTCTTTGGCTGTTTAATTTAAACACTTCTGTGCCTGAAGGTCTAAATGAATATACCGAGATCTTTTAGTTTCTGCAGTAATCATGTATTTCCTGCTATTACTGATAATGACTTTTAAAACAGCACACTTAAGCAGAGCTATTATTTTATTTACAGCCTTTCCAAGGTGGGAGTGGCGGCCGGGCACGTGGGAAGCAGTAACACCGGAGGAGGAACAGGATGACAGCTTGTCAGCGGAAACATATGTCAGTCTAGTGAGGAGCTAACAAGGGGTGGCATCCGGACCTTGGTGTGCCACAAGCAAGCAGCCTCTAACAAACTTCTAGACACATTATGTCCCATCCTGACACAGCCTATGAGCTTGTCACCTTCATGACAGCTGATAAACCAAGTCTGAATTAAGAGCAAGTTTCTCCGAATTTCTGTAGTGCAACCTTAGCTCTGAATTTGGTAGCACATGGACCTGACCCAAAGCTCAACATTAAATCAGCTTAATCCTTTTTGTTGGCTTCCAGTGAGCGAGTCATATTTCTAAACAGGACTAGGTGGTTCAATGATACTTTGCCTGAAGTAACGCAAGTATTTCTCACTCTTTCCTCATCATCTTTTGTATTAGCTAAAACTGTCTGCCAAACCTAGCCCAAAATCACAAGTGTTTTAGTTAAACAATATCACTTTTTTTGTGAATAATCTCTGTCCAATTTTTTCGTCCATCTCTAGTTCCACACGCCTTCACATGGGTACTGCAAGGACGAGAGGACGGTAGGAGAGGCCAGATGAACATCTGCTGCACGACAGCAGTCAGGCACTCCCTTGAAGAGCCACCAGGGATCCAAGAAGGATGGGCTAAGCAGGTAGGATTACAGGACTGGAAAAGAAGGGAACAGGAGACAAGAGACCAGAGTCTCTGTAGAAAAGAAAAGTGGGCTGCTTTGTTGTTCTGCCTCCACAAGCACTCAACACCATCAAATACAGCAAGAGGATCAGGGCAGAGCAAACGATGAATATTTCTCAGCTTCTTTCTGTTAACAGGACTCACAGCGATAAGGCTTAAATTGACGTTTCAAAGCATACTGGCAGGTACTCAGATCCCACAGCAACAAGTAGCTAAAATAACCTAGCAGATTTGTAAAGATAGGGGTCTTTTGAGGCTAGCATTTCATCTCATCCATTTGCCAAGCCTTGCTACTTTCCCTGCCTTTTTTGGGGAGCACACTTTTTCATCAACATCATCCATAGCTGAGCACCAGCTTGCAACTGCTTCTAAAGCCAGTCACTCAGAGCTGGACCCTAACCAAGTCATATGCACAACACTTAACCAACTCTGTCAGCACCGAGAGGGCAAGGGAGCTAGAAGAAAGGTTACCATGTCATCATTGCATCAGCTAAGTTCGACAGATTTCTGAAAGGAAACATAGTCCCCTCTCATCTACTACCCCGATACAGAAGCAGCCATCCTCCAGACTGAGACTTGCAAGATTTATTTCCAAGTGCTGTACTGCGGGGCTCAAAAATCCCCAGGGGTTCAGTGAATCAGGGCTAGAGTACAGAACAAGCAGTGCATTTTAAAGGTAACTGCTCAAAAAGACCACATTATCACTCCATTTGCAACAGCTTCAGAGTGAAAAATTACAAAAGGACAAAAAAAATTTACAAAAAACGGTATTTAGGCTGGATTCGGTCCATTTCACCCCTTTAATATTTCTACAATGTATGTTTCAAAGGAAAAGTGAGCAGAAACCCCACTATTTGGAACAGTTCTGATGATAAAATGCTACTAGATAGCCCAATGGATAAACCATTAGAAAATAAAACCAGCAGTTTGCACATGTCATGCCAGGCTTTCAAATGAGCCTGAAAATACATACGCAGTTAAAGAAAAAAGTTCTTTCCTTTAGCACGCAAAAATGTGTTTACTGCCAAAAGACTAAAAAAGCCAAGTGTTGCAAAAAAAACACAAAACACTTCAAAATGAGGCATTTTATTTCCCTCCCCCAACAGATGAGGTGAAACTGCTTTTTTAAACACTCACTTTTGCCTAGCTGTAGGTGTTTATACAACTTAATGTTGGAAGTAAGCAGGAAAAAAAATTGTCTTTTCAGGCAATATTCTCCTATCAATACTCACCAAAGGGAAAGAGAAGCACCTGAAGGCTGAATGTACATAAGTACATGCCTGCAGGGATGCTAAGGAGGTTTAAGTTCTGCTCATTCCCAAGTAACAACAGACACCTGAGGGTTAGTTTATGCACCACATGTGAATTATGCTCAGCAACATCACAATTTTAGCCAAATTGCCTCAATTTCCTCGAGCAGCACTCTATAGGCAAGCACTTAGTGAAGGCAAAGGCAGACATGCTTAGTGAACTCTTGTGCTTCTTGGCTACTGCACTAGTTCAGGTCTCTATTGTCACTTCAGAGTTAGACACCATTCGGGGGCCTGATCCAGCACTAACACAGCCAGCAGGAGGAGGACTGTGCTGCCCTGAAAGGGCATTGAAACAAGCCTTCGACCAGCTTTAAGAACAACAATTACTAGCGTCAGAACTGTACATGGATTTGAACCGCCCTATTGCTACCTACACTTTTAAACACAAAAGCTGTTCTTAGGAACTGCACTGAAGGTCTCTTCATCCTAATCTGCTGGGATGATGGTTAACCTTGCATTAGACTAGATTGACCTCAGCAGCCCAGCTCCATCATCAGGTCCCATTTCAATCTCCTGAATGGCTGTTTTACCCTTAGCGTTAGAAAAAAGAGCAGCAGGATGAAGTTGTATGGGCTCACGACTGGGGCCCCATTTTGTGCTGGATTCAGAAACCTGGCATCATTCTGAGTTGCAGGGAAAATTCTGAAATTCTTCCCAAAGCACAACTAACACCACTTGGCTTTCTCATGTTGTGTTATCATACACAGCAGAAAAATCATTCAGAACAAGACAACATACCGATGCTATTTACAGCATCACTTCTACCAGCTCTTTAACTCACTTAATTTGCTGAAAAGCAGAACTGAAGTATTCTGCACATGGCCTACAGTCCACTGAAGTCATCAGGTAACTTTCACAGACACTTCAACAGAGTCCCACTCCCATTCAAACCAAGACAATTCAAACATTTCTGACTGTCATCCAGCCTAGCATTAATGATTTACATTTACACTATGATAATGGTCCAAATGAAATCCACAAAACAACACAAGGGACCTAAACTTTGCTACTTTTACTTTCTTTTCTACAGTACTTTTAATCAGTTTGCTATTACAGAATGTATCCTGTTGTAATGTCATGATAATTCAGAGAAAAAACAGTAATTCACCTAGGTATTTCTACTTTCTCTCTCCTGAATGCTATACAACGTACTTAGTAATTATTGTTTTATCTTCTGGAAAAGGGGGAGAAAAAACACACACCACAAATAAAATCCCACACGCTTCCTACAGGCTACTTTATTTGGTGAAGGCAGCTGAGGATAGTGAGATAGCAGGTGCTGATGCACCAAGAGCAGTGGGGGAAAGGTTACTACAGATGCTGATGTGAAGCTGTATGACTGGATCTGTACTACATGGGAGACACGCAAACAAGTGAAAAATTGAACAGAAGAATTTTTGTACTAGTTTTTACTGCCTAAAAAAGTCTATAAACATCCATCTGTCCAGAAGTATTATTAAGGATGACAGTGGAGGAAAAATTATAGGCAGAGAAGTGCAGCAAGAACTGCATTTGTTAGAATTTCTCTTGGGGCATGTAACCTACGTAAGTCCCGAAGAATGGAGAAACACCTTTCCCCTCCCCTCCCTGAACTTTGAGGCAATGAATGACATCCAAGCTCTGCTGTGAAAAGAAAAAAAATAAAGGACTGAACATGTTACAAAGCCTTCTCTTTTAATAGTGGTATCTTATGATTTCTGTTTAGGTAGAAATAAAAACAGTGCAATTGATCGGATGCAAATTGAAGACTCCCCATCTTATCGTCCATGGAAAGTTTTTTTGTACAGGGTTGCAAGTGATTTGTCCTTTTAACTATGGGACAGGAAACTGCCCCTCTAAATAGAGGGGGGCTCTTTCAGAACAAGCACCAAAGATTTACAAAAAGCCCCAAATAGCTCAGGGAAAGCAAGTTCAAAAAGCACATCAGCTCATCTCCTACATTTAAATACCCTCTCTAGCCAATCTGCCTTAATCCTGGCTGCAGGTGGATCCCTGAGGAAGTGGGACACATGAAGCATACGAACTCAGCCAATGTGTTTGTGCGCACCTCCCGCAAAAGCTCCTGAATATGTCAACCGACTTCAACAAAATATAACAGAGCAGCAGAGCAATGACATTAAGTTCCTATGAGTTTCATAAAAACAGGAGTCAAGGAGATGAGGACCACCCCGCTAAGGTCTCTCCCCAAGGAAAAAGCTACATTATGAACTGAGCCCTATTTCTCATCAGCAGACCCAACCCAACCTGAAGCTACAGAAGACTGGGTTTCTTTGGGTCTACTGCCGGTGAAAGTCCTTGTACTAAATATATGACTACCTACTAATTTCTCAGCTAATAATCCTACTAGCATACATCATCACTATGTACATCCCACCGCTAGAACTGCATGCAATGTTTATGCAAAAACCACAGAAGACATGCTTGTTATGATCCCAGCACTTGGCTGTTAGTATATATTAAACATGGTCTTGTACTCTAGCTGACAGCAGGTCCTCCTCTTAACCCCAGCTGCTGAGGGAGTTTGCAATACCGATATGGTACATACATAGAAGGAAAAGAAAAAGCATATTTACGGACTTAAAAATAAGCAAGTACAGGTTTTTGGCAGTAAAGGTGATACCAGTACAGATACCTGGAGGTAAGAAAGCCAACTGTAAGACTGAGGAGCCAGAAGCAACTTTCATTCCTACCTGGTTCAGTGCAATTTCTGACATACGGCTGCCCCCCATCCTCTGGGACGTCAGTCGTGTTCTCATTTGCTTGCAGTAGCTGTCTCCCGCTCCATTTGTCATTACTTTCCACAGAAAAGCTCAAGGCATCATAACCTAAAGGAAAAGAGCAACAGATACATGAGACTGCACAGCAAAGGCAACTCCTGATTCTATTCCTGAATGCTTGAAGCAGCCAAATCATTTGTATTTCAAACCCAGTGTCCCTTGGGTTAGAAACAGTGGTGTTTCTAATCCCACTGGAAAGATACACTGCCATTAGCTCCACATCCTAGTTAGTCCCAAAAACATCAGGAGTCAGGTCCATTCCTCCACAACTTCAAAGGTTCATACTAGAAGAGCATCTATGGTTTCACAAGAAGTTGTAAGCTTCAATCAGTCTAAAATTGGAGTACCATCCACTGTTTTGGGTTAAAAAAAAAAAAAAAAAAAAAAAAAAAAAAAAAAAAAAAAACCCAAACCACACACAAACCACCACACACAACAAAAAAACCTCGCAACTTATTACTTCTGTAGGCATTTCACTGCTGTCAAGTATCCGCAAAACTGCTGAATTTTGCACGTGCTTACACAACATTTAAGCCATTTCTGCTTACGATTACCATTCCATTTGCTGCTGAATGAGGCCTCAGAAATACAGCATTTGACACAAAAGTTAGGTAGGCTTCTCTGTGAATCAATAAAACGCTACGCAGTGTTAGGAAGGCTCTGCCCCAACAAAGTGTGAGGTTCCTCGGGACTGCAAGGGCAGAGCTTGGCAACCCACGCTGTGTTAGGAAACAGCGGTAGGGAGGCTGCATCAGAAGGGGGACCGAAGCATAGGAGCAATCACCATTTTCAAATTATGTTTCATAATAAAAGTCTGAACAGTTATTTTCAAAGTGGTCAACAGGGATCCACTTCAATATCTTGTGCCCAAGTCTAATGACATCAGTGGAAAGGCTCCTGAACTTGTTCACTGCGGGCCAGGCAGCAGCTCTTCAACGCATTAGGAAGTATTCATTTATAAACATGAAATCTACAGCTTCCTTCAGGTTCTCCTCACAGCCCACAAAGCAATTGATGGAAACATCTTTATGAAAGTATAGCCGTATTCATTCTCAAAATGGTTCTTAGTAGGCCCAACTGCATTGTGACTCCCGCCCAACAAATCTCCCTGAAGCCAGAGCATGCCTCCAAGTCAGTTCAGTAGCCCTCCCCACTTCCAATAATTAAGAAGCGTCTATAAGCATCAAGGGCATGTACTTCATATAAAACTGAAAAAAAAGGGATAAACCCCAGTCCAGCAGGAGTTAACCATTTTAGACCCAGGGGTCTGAGTGTACTCTTTATCATGTCCTGTCCTCCTAACGGGAAGCATGTGCACATTTACCGACTTCCCATTTTTCCAACGTGAGCCATATTGCTTTTGCTTACCAATTTTGTTGCCAGCAAGACCCAGACCTGATTGCAAAACAACTGCACACTATCAAACAAAGTTTCAGTGCTACACATGACTGCTGTTGAGAATACCAAGAAAACCCCCAAATTCTATTCCTAGGCCATTTACCCAGTGAAACAAGAATCACTATCTGGAAGGCAAGGAAGTAGCAAAAAGTAATAAAATAAGGAGACTGAAGTGGCACATCTTCCAACTCTAGCACAGGATGAAAGTAGCCAGCACCAGGACTTTGCCACGGAGAAGCCAGAAGGAACTGAAAAGTGAATATTGAGAAGCAAGCGCAAGCAGTGATAGCTGGGCAAGAAACATGCCGAAAAGTCAACTCACTGGGTACCAAAACCAGTTTGTGTGTAATAAATGCAAAGACACATTATACCAACCCCCTGGCTCCCATCAGCAGCACAGCACATCAAACTGCAATTGTTCTATATCTGCTTCATGATCCAGGCTCGCAGACTGGTTCCAGCTATACACTTGTGAGGGGTGGTTTGAGGTACAAGTATGCAGCAAGTAACCCTACAAAAGGTAACACATTACTTTGCTCATTACTTCTCTCTCTCTCTCTCTCCTTGATTTACTCCCCACTTCGGCTTTGCCTTGGTGCTGCTAAGTGAAACTCTCTTTTAGCAATGTCAACATAAACAGCTGGCTGATTTCCATTATATTCTTGGCAAAAGGCTGGTCAGCCTTGGACATGTCACATCTGCCTAATTAGCTGGAAGCACATGCTCATGTGTCAGTTCCATGCATCCTATGTAGTTTTAGATTTAAGGGAGGAAGAAAAAAAAAACTTTTTTTTTTCCTTTTTAAAGCTGCCAAGGCATCCAATTCAAGCAGACACACACACCAAATCGTCTATCTTGCAACAGAGACCTTAAGCCCATCTGATAACAAACAGTATTTGAGAGTGATTTCCACCCACCCATCCATCTTTTTTCCACCAAGCAGAACACAGGTTCTCTCACAGGGACTTGGCTGCTCAAGTTACTCCTCAAGTACATATCACTGACACTGTCCATGGCCTGTCTCCTGCATGCACTCAGGTTGTGACAGGGCCTGGCTGTCCTCCCCACTGGGAAGAACACGCAGTTGTCTGTCAAACATCTAGGGTGTTTTGAGGCCACCAGGCAATGACAGGCTTTACTCCACACAGGGAACTCACAGTACCCGGGGTCTGTACCCAACACCTGATGCTTCAAAACCACATTTAAACCTGAGCACTTTGGAGACAGATAACAAGCAAAGAGCAGTGGAGCAGAGATTCAAATCTTGGGGCAATGTCTCAGACGGTGCTTATGGACAAAGGAAAAGGTTCTCTGCAGGTCCCAACCCTTTCATTAGGTTTTCTGACTAATCCCATTGAGAGAGGTGGCCAACCCAAGACTTCTCTGTTTTGCCCAGATCATAATCTGCTCAGGGCAGCTCCCATGTCACGCTACCAGCAGGAAGGCAATGCTTGGGAAGGGACTGTCTGGGAATTTGCATCCCAGGCCAAAGGCAGTGACTGGGACCAATGGTCCCAAGACACACAGGAGCAGCCTGTATGCGTGTTTGGGGGAAGAACCACGACAGCACGGGCAGCCTTAACCACCCCTGTTTTCTAAGCAAAAAGTGTTTAACTTGGTAAACTAAGTATCCTCATTTGAAGCTTCAAGCACTTTGTACGTGCTATGCTTTACAAACTTTGGAGAATGCTGTTTGTTTAGTCTGTGAGCACCGGTAAGAGCTTAAACTGTGAGTTAAACATATACAAACATCACTGTTAGAAGCAGACTGTGTTTCTCAGAAGGAGCACAGTGCAGTAATACAACATCAGGCATCTCCCATAATAATAAACACACTCTGGTAATCTGAGCTAAGCAGTTTCAGTTCCACATACAAGCTGTTTCCAAAGCAGAGAGACTCTTCTCCAAGCAGCCGATGCTTCATTGTGCATTGCTGCATGGAGGAAACACGCGAGGGAGAACCCGCAAGGACCGCAATGGCCCAGAAGTTCCTGCAGAAACCTTTCTTGCTCCCTCCACACCCACAACGCCTTCCTCTCTCAGACTGTGAACTTTTCCAAACAAGGGGTAGAGAAGAAGAAAGTCATTTAAGGTGATTCTGGAAGGGGAAGAGCTTAATTTGGCAATAAAAGTGTTTATAAAGGCTACATTCAGCATTCACACAAATAAGTGTAAATACCCACAGAACTGCTCCACAGCTGAACTTGATGGGATGGCTGTGACTTAGACCAGTAAAAGCTCTCCTCTGGCACCTCCAGGTTTAAGTGGGTCAGCTGTCCCATGGCAGGACTCGCAACCCGCTGGCCCCAAAATCCTGCCTTGGGTATCTCCACTCTAAAACACCTTTGGCTCAACAAAGCAATAGAATAGAGAAGTTATAGATGAAAGCAGATGCTTTTTCAAAGGTTTGGCCTTCCAAGGATTTCCTTGTGAAAACAGGGACACAAGATTTTAACCTTGCTAACAAGGACATTTTATGACAATCAAATGGGCTCCACGTTTCCCCACTTGCCAGCACCAGCCTCCCAGCGGCATGGCCAGAGGCAGCTCGACACCTGCCCTATGGGCACAGGCTGCACTCCCATCAGTCCTTGCAGAAAACAACTCAGAAACTTGGATTCATGTTTTGGCAGACTGGGTGAAAGACGAACTGACTGTCAGCTGCAGTTTAACGCTTCACACGTAGCTGCCTATAAAACAGGGACCTCACCCACCCCGGTGGATGCAGTGCCCACCACCGTTTTGGCCTGGCAGCATCTCTCCCTGCTTTAGGTGCTGGCACGAGGCAGAACCACCACCACCAATAAGTGCTGCAGCACCAGGGACATCCCCTCAGCCACAGCATCCCACCATGACAGGGCTGCATGAACAGCACGCCACCGCCACCACTGCCAGGTGGCAGGACCCATGCTGGCTTCCACAGCCCCTTCCCATCTGCGCTGGTGAGGTCCTCCCTTGGGTTGCCACATCACCTGCAGCAGGAGCACCAGCCCCTCAGGCTCACTTGTGTGAAAAGCACAAGCATATCCTGACCTATAAATATTATACAATCACATTCCCAGGACAGCTTCAAAAAGGCAGATGCAACAATCACAAATTCTCTTTGAGAACAAATCTTTTGCAACGTGTGCTTTTGGCTTCTTATTTCAGACTGTATCTTACAATCCTGTACTTACCTGTTCTAAGGCAAAACTTATGCCGACTTGAAGCTTCACATCAGCTGCCAAAGACTGTGGGGCCTGAGCCCCTGTGTCACTAAAAGAGGGCCCCATCCTTTGATTTCAATATATACAAAATCACAGCCAGCAAAATGCAGAACAAAAATCTGACATTCATAGAATCATAGCATTGTTTAGGTTGGAAAAGACCTTTAAGATCATCGAGTCCAACCATCATCCATGCCCACTAAACCATGTTATTGAGTACCCCATCTACGCACTTTTTGAATACCTCCACGGATGGTGACTCAACCACTTCCCTGGGCAGCCTGTTCCAATACCCGACAACCCTTTCAGTAAAGAAATTTTTCCTAATATCCAACCTAAACCTCCCTTGCCGCAACTTGAGGCCATTTCCTCTCATTCTATCTCCAGCCACCTGACAGAAGAGACCAGCACCCACCTCACTACAACCCCCTTTCAGGCAGTTGTAGAGAGCAATAAGGTCTCCCCTCGGCCTCC